GGGGTGTGTATACATGGGCTCCTCGCTCCCACCCTCATGGGCAGAAGGGCTGAGCAGGGTACAGTTCATGGGTGGGCACTGCAGGCCGGATGAAAGTGCCTGGCAGACCGTATTTTGCCCGCCCCGTGCTAGGTCTACTTAGAAGAAACATTATAAACTAAAAATCACTGTAAAAGTGCAAGATCGTTCTTGAATCCTATGATTATTGACAAGTTTACCTTCACCAAGAACCTGCCCTTTATTGAGATCCTTCCTTATTCTTTTCTTTGTCCGCTTTCCTCTTCCTTTCTTTGGTCTCAAAGCAGTGTTTGCCAGAACTCCTTTCCACAGTTCATCAGCCGTCACTAGAATGAAAGGACTTTCATAAATAATATATAGAAATAGTTTATATATTAGTAACATTAGTTGAGCATAAATTCCAGAGTATATTTGAGCTCAACCTAGAGTCACTACTGCCCCACTGAATTAACATGTACTCTTCCATGCTTGTATTTACTCACTTCTCTCTCCTTCTGCCTCCTTTTCTCTTTGGACCTGTGCACTTTAAACAAGATTACATGAATTTGTTTAAGCACTTCTCAAAACAAAATAATATTTAGTATGATTTGCATAACTACTGTGGATGCAACTAAACCACATAGAATTACTGTAGTCAGGGAGGAAACCAGGTGATCACATTATTTTCGATCATTTTTTTCAAATGGGATTTAAAACAAACCTTTGTAACCAGAGTTGCCAGTGTAACATTTGTTTCTGTAATGTTATTAAAACAAGATCAATTGCTATTAACTAAGATAAGCAGTAGCAATAACTGCTACATTATTATAATGTAAGCCAGCTTGAACCACTGAAAGTACTAACAGTGAAGGTATAAGAGCTACTACTAGTGAACAGATGCTAAATAAACCATGCAAATAACAGAGTAGAACATAACCGTTAACGCAGGGGTTTTCAACCTTTTTTAGTAAGTGTACCCCCAGCGGCCAGACACAGAGCAGGGGTGGGAGGGGAGCTGGTGTGTGGTGGGACACAGAGTGGGTGGGGGGGAGCGCGTGGCCGGACGTGGAGTGGCGGCAGAGCAGGGTAGTTGATGGTGGCAACACAGAGGGGCACCGCTGCCCTCACCCTGCCCCGGCCCTTGTCCTGGGAGGCAGCACTACATCACCCCCACCTGCCCACACGTACCCTCTAGGGCCTTCTCAAGTACGCCAGGTTGACAACCCCTGAGTTAATGGTTTCATGAAATACTGTAATACAACGTCCTCCTTTATCCTTTGCGCTCTTCCCTCTATCCCACTTCTGTGCATGCTGTTTTATAGATCACCAACACAGAACTTAGCATTTACACTGAAAACACAAGTTAAATTTCACAGCCTTCTGTGTATATAGTTTCAGCACTTGTGCTATGCGAAAGGGCACAGAAAATAATTATTTTCATGTTTAGACAAAGACACAAAAACAAGGCTGTCCCAGGGGCACAGGACCAGACAAGGGGGAAGCCTTGTTCAGAGGCAAACCCCAGACCAAGGTAAAAGGAGGAAAAAAAAA